TCCCTCACTGTCCCCCCACACCTGCTCTGCCCTGTCCCTCACTGTCCCCCCACACCCGCTCTGCCCTGTCCCTCACTGTCCCTCGCTGTCCCTTGCTGTCCCTCACTGTCCCCCCACACCCGCTCTGCACTGTCCCTCACTGCCCCCCCACCTGCTCTGCCCTGTCCCTCACTTCCCTCACTGTCCCCTCACACCCACTCTGCGCTGTCCCTCACTGTCCCTCACTGTTCCTCGCTGTCCCTCACTGTCCCCTCATTGTCACTGTGGCAGCCGCCTCAGCAGCTCAGGGCGTCTGTCCTCGGTGCTGATGCCTGGGCCCCCCCACCCCCATGTTCCCCCTCTGGGATCCCCTGTGGACTCTGCCGTTGCCACTGATGAGAGTCAGCTTCCGAGATGCAGGGCCCTCACCGCTGCCCTGAGCGCCCGCCCTGTGAGCCACCAGGGTGTGAGCACCTCGGGGGTTCAAGGGATGGTGGCAGGGCCAGGATGGGGACATGTGGCCACTGCACTGAGGGCACCTTCTGGCCACTGTGGGGCGAGTCCCTCTTGGGTGCTGTGCAGGGCAGAGCACAAGGCGCTGCCGCCTGGACCCATTGCTTGTGGGCCGAGGGTGGGCTGGGCTATCTGTCCCTGGCACCCTGGGCCTTCCTGTCCAGCCTCCCACCACAAGGCCGCAAAGACAGGCCCTCAGTTCTGTGCCTCCCCGGGCCGAGCACGAGCTGGGTGTGTGTCAGGGCTGCGTACGCCGTGGGCTGACGTCAGGCGAACACTCAGGCAGATGGCGGGTGAGGAGAGCTGGCCCAGGATGCGCTGAGCCATCTCCCTTCGCGAGTGGGAGTCGTGTCTGAGGACAGGCTGTGTTCGGTGGATGGACGAGAAACAGGACCAAGGGAGTGACAGGGCTTGGCTGTCCCCTCCTGGCAGCAGTCGGGAAAGTTTCCGCGAAGACAGACCCAGAAATAGCCCCTGCAGCTGCACTGGCTGGAGGGCCGTGTGGACGGGTCTGCGGCCCTCCCTGGCCTGACCTGGCCAGGGGCCGTGTGACCTGGACCCCTGCATGGTCTGCCCATACGGTGGATGGGAGCTAGGAACCTGGGCCGGGCACACAGGTGTCACCCACGTGAACTTAGGAGCCCTGGGCACTGGCCCTGCTGTGCAGTGAGCAGAGGCCTTGCTCACCGGGTCCAGGTAGCCCCAAGTGTGAGAGGCTGGGAGCTCAGGGCAGTCGGAGAGCGAGGCCTGGTGGGCAGGGGGCCAGGCGTGCAGGTGGTGGCACCCGGGCCGTTTGGAGGGGCACAGGGGGGTGGCAGGGGTGGTGGCTATGAGGCCACTGGGGGCTGAATGTGGGAAGGTGGATGGGGTCCTGGAGAGGGTTCTGGAGAGAGCCAGCCCTGGCCTCCAACCCAGAGGTGGCTTGTGCGGCCTCCTTGGGTGGAGGCTCCAGTGAGGAGTGCTGACCCGCAGCGGGGAGGGAGGAGGTGAGCACGTTTGGTGTTGGAGGCAAGGGCAGGTGTGTGCAGCTGTTGTCGGGGAGAGCAGGCAGTCAGTCCAGGGAGGCTGGTGACTGGACCCCCCAGGTGACAGGGGTGGGGGTGCGGCTGCCTGGAGAAATGTCTTACCTGTCATCAGCCGGACTCCAGAAGAGCCTGCAGGTGCGCTTAGAGACAAATCTTGCAGACCTGGGTCAGGCCAGGATGAGGATTCTGGACAGCACCATGTGCAGCCTCGCCTTCCCCGTCCATCCAGGCTGAGGCTGGCAGAGAGGGGGCAGTGCAGGGCGTGGGGGCAGCGAGGGCCCACGCCTCCCACTGAAAGCGCCAGCTGCAGCAGGCCGGCGGGGCGAGCTGGGCCTCTGTGCGAGGCGTGCCAGACAGCCTAGTTCCCAGCTGGGCTGCTTTTAATTACCGAGCTGAGAACATTCTGTGCTTCGCTTTGAAGTGGCTGCAGTTATCAGGATAGCCATGGGTTCGCCCAGGCTTCCATTCAGGGC